CGCGGACCGCCTGTGTGGTACTGGCAACCACACTCTGAGAACCACTGCCCTAGGAGGAATTTTGGCCTACTCTTCCACGCGGGCCAGTTGTCTTGGAAGATCATTTTCGTCGCCATAAAAACGAATGGTTACCAAGTTGGTACGGAAGAATTGCGGTGAAACCTACCGAATGAATTGCAGGAAATATATTATTTAATGAGAGGAAATTTACGTTTTATGTTCCGTACAATGTATTCAGTGAAGCAGCAACAATTGATGTATTAAATGTGGAAAAAGCCACATACTGTAATTGTAGCTGTCCCATTTGGGGATTCGAGTTCTGCTGGTATTTTAATACATTTTTTACATTGTAATGTTTAATTTAATTCTGTTTTTTTTTCTGTGTAACAAGGGCATTCAATTGGAGCTGTCCAGCCATGCAGTGCTACCCAACAATTAGCGCATCAAACATATAAGAAGCTACCAAAAAAAACTGAGGAATAGATTTTTTTACGCCTTAACCCAGAAAAGCACAGGAGCTCGTTGTGTGCGTTGCTGATGGATTGTGATTATACCCTTACAAAACAAACACCACGCCTCAAAATTGCTCAAGTTGAGATTACACAAGGCATCAGAATCTTGATTTATCCTGGAGAAATCCGACGGGCTGCAAAGTTCTTTCTCACAGACGTCTGCAGAGTCGGGTTAACATCGCACCACTCCACACCCGCCCCGTCTGTGAAAACCTTGACACAGCAATCGTACTGTGACGGTTCCACCTGAAGACGGAAGCGTGTGTTACCTCCGAAACGTCGTGATTTTTATTTAATTTTTATTTTACTTTTATTAATTTTTTTTTTTACCTACGTGACGTTACCGAAAAAACCTAAGAATGTGAAAACCTGGCAGGTACCCCCTGAAAAAAGAGTCTTGAGGCTCGGTGAGGCTTTAGCTGGACGATAAATCATAATCCCGATAATATGCCGCAGCAGACAAAATGCAACCGCATCTCAAGGCACTGTGCAGAGACAGCGCGACGCTGTGCGTCACGTGGAAGCGAGGCTTATTTAATGAATATGTGCCTGGAAAGACATTCCTGAAAACGGTGACCTATTTTTTAGCGTGTTAAAGTTTCGTCGTTCTATTTGTTTTGTTTAACACGGCAGAAGAGGAACATGTCAATAAAGTGCGTATCGCAGGCACAACAGTGAGCGCCGTCACCTTGGTTTGCGATAGAGGGGCTGGCTCGGTTCGATTTTATAAGAAGAAGAAAACAACAACTGGGAAGCCTGGGGGGAGGGGGGTGAAATCTAATGGTCGTAACAATAATCTCAACGTGTACATCGACACCGCACTATTCGCTCACTCTCGACGAGAGAGGGAGGACGACTGAGAGACGCGAGGAGGAACCAGTCACGAGCTTGGGAAGGCAGTCACGCGGTGAGCCGGCGTCAATAAGCTCTGCCGTGCTCGATATAAACTATAAACTATACACGATGTGCAGGCGTTATCGGCCAACTTACGAGTGTTTACAAGTGCGAGGAAACTCGAGCGCCTCGGATAAAAACCCCACGCGTGCGACGGGTAAAGGCACTAACCCGTCCAGGTGAAGTCCACATTTTTGTGTATGTACGGAACGTGTTTCGCACCGTCGTAATCGGAGGTGCCGGTAACTTTAGCATTGTCCTGGCGAGCCGTTGCTGTAGCCGCTACAGCACCTCCCGGACGCGACGCGCCTACGGGAAGTGTGCGTCACCACATTGTGTGCTATCCACCGACTCTCGCTTCCTCTCCACAATGATGGATTGCAGGCCACGTGCAGTATAATGACCGCCGTCGCCCGGCAAGAGTTCGCGGACGCCAGGACGATTGGGCAACACCGAGGGCTCGGATTCTGAACGCCCAGCAGAGGTTACGTTTGTTTTTTGCGTGGGATGTTTTGGGGGTAGGGGGCTTTGCTCAGAAGCAGTGGGGTAGTAACGAGGGGCGGTCCTCGACTTACGAACACAATTCGTTCCTGAGACCCGTTCGTAAGTCGAACGGTTCGTAAGACGGAACACAGTAATCTATTGTATATTTAAATGTCCACACAAACACTCACTTCCAGCTTTGGGCTGACTCATTACATCTCGCGGAGGATCGCTCAGCTGAACAAAACATTGTGCCGCAGTTCGATTTGCAAGTGAGAGCTCGCGTTTTAAGCTAATGTAAAAAACTATAACAAATCTTTCATGGAACCTAGCTCGTGATTGCGGTTGTTCGTTAGTCGGGCAGTCGTAATTCGAGGACTGTCCGTATATTATCAGTTCGGGGTGGGGGATGTGCCAATCTGTCAGGTGGGGCCCCAATATTTGATTTGAATTAAATAACATACAACGTGGAACGGAAATGAAAAATAATCATTAAAAAATCATTTGAGACCGCGTTTTAAATCATTGTTATTCTTGGTTCATTCGGTAAAGTCACGTAGAATGGAAATAATAAAATAATAAAAATAAAACATAATTAAAGTCACGTAGAATGGAAATAATAAAATAATAGAAATAAAACATATTTATTTTTATTACTTTATTATTTCCATTCTACGTGACTTTACCGAAAAAACCAAGAAGATGAATCCCTGCAGTCACGAAAGCTTTAAATCGAAATTTAAATCATTGTCGTTGTTCTTTTGCACTGTTGTTGAAGACACATCTCACGTTGGTTGTCAAGGGGGCCCCAGCCCGTAGCTGTGGCCACCGCGGTGGGGGGGCGGGGGGGGTGAGGGGGGGGCGCGGGGGGGGGGGGGAGGGGGGGTGAGGGGCAGGGCACCCCTTGCCTGCCCCAGTGCTGCTCGTTACGCCACTGCTCGGCTCCCTGTTGTGGGGGCTGCGGGTTCGACAGGCGTGAAGGGTGGCCTCTATAAAAAAAAAAAACATCTTTACGAGACAATTCATCACTCACTTTAAAAATAGCCGCTTGCTTCTTTTTTTAAAGACTTTCCAAACACGCATGACGCGCCCAGTTTATGATCAATAAACACCGCCCCAACTTTTCTGTAATGATATTTGGCCGTTTCAATCTCATCTCGTGACTTATTTTTGTGCAATGAACCCTCCGACAAGCAACCGCAAAGACAACGTGACGATTGTGTGAATGACGAAGGCGCGATGGTGCGTGCTAAGGGCACGAAACCAGACAGGTATGGCACGCCAGCACAAATACTCTTTGTTTTTTTCGGTAAAGTAACGTAGGTAAAAAATAATAAAAATGAAAACAACTTAATTAAATCACAAATTAAATAAGTAAAATTAAATAAAAAAGTGAAAACAACTAAATTAATTTCATCTTGTATTTAATTTTATTTATTTTAATTTGTGATTTAATTTAGTTGTTTTCATTTTTATTATTTTTTACCTACGTGACTTTACCGATTAAAAAAAAGAGTATGGATCCTTGCAGTCACGAAAACTTCAAATCTAGAATCACAAATACGTTGCGTCTGCACACATAATTGCCAATGTTGTATGTTTATCGGCTATTCCAGTGGAATGTTATGAATCAAGCAGCACGTATTTCTTGAGCAAGCTGTGGACCGGTTTCGAACTTCTGGGTCTCATCAGCAAAAACAGCATTGCAACCACCGATACAGCAACTTTGTTTTACAATTCCGTTGCCTATTTTGCTAAAAAGAACGTTATATTTGGATAAGGGACCGTCCATTAATGACGTCACGCACCTAGGGGGGGGGGGGTCAGACATTTGTGACGATGTGTGACGAGGGGGGGGGGGGTTTGAGAAATGTGACGTCACATCAAAATGTGCAACTTTAAATAAATATAGACAACACGTTTTACATAATTAAATATACATTTTAATACGTTTTCTCCTCGTGACGTCATTTATGGACGGCCCCCAATGTCCTTTCAACCGTGACGCTTCGACAACTTAGAACAATTTGGCGTCTGTTAAGCAATGAACGCGTGTTCCCTCTGAGTCAACCTCAGACGAATAAGCGAAGTTAATTGCTCGGAAATGTTGAATACAGGACAATTGCTCATGATCTGGTTAAGTTTATATACTATTATACTTCGTATGTATCTGCTAAGTTTAACGTTTTGCCTCTATCAATCGTTTTAATTTTATAAATACTAATTGATGAAAATCTAAATTAGCCACTTAACTTTCTTGTTGCATTATTTGCTTTGTTTTCATTCTTGTACTCTCATTTGTCTTTATTGTGGGCAGCAGAGGGCAGTGCAGGGAAATCAGACGTTGTACTGTGTATCTATGCTCCCACTGCCGCCTCTAGCCTTCATCAACCCGTATGCACCAGCGTCGTAAAGTGTGGTAACAGCACCCACGACGACCCTCGCCCTAGCAGTGGAGTGTTCAAGGGCTGTGAGTTTGATTTTGCACACCGGATCTCCCTTGACAGAGACTTGTGTTTTCAATTGCCTCGTTCTCGATTGCATCTGCATGGTTCTCGCGTACACTAATAGTGTCTTATTCAAATCGGTGCATACCCATTCGTATATATTCCAAGCTCACAATGCGTACATGTCAAAGAATCTATGGGGGTTGTTTGCTGTTAAATCGATTTCGGTGTATGCAATGGCTTCAACGTGATCACCTCCAGCCACTAGAGGCCGCTAGACTCATCACAATGCGAACACATTTTGAATCGAGTCACCGAGTCGAATCACTTCACCGAAAATCGTGACGGACGAGCGCGTGGCTTTGATACACGCTGCAAATCTGGCACGTCGCGATTATCACGCCTTTCGTGAATAATTAATCGAGACCATCCTGACCAATGGGCACGCTCAACGCGCTCACATATGTTCAAAGAGGCGGCTCGTGAATACAAGTTGCGACATCTGATTGGCCGGAGCGGCCGCGAGACAAGACGGGAAAGGCTTGGGGGGGGGGGCTAATTATCATAATTTATTTTCTCCTACCGTGGACAGCGCCCCCAGGGAGACACGTGGACACACGAGGCTGAATTGCAGAGAGAGAGAGAGCGAGGCGGCATTGGTGGAGGGAGGAATCGCCAACAGCTTATAGCGGCAGCGGGCTGGAACATCATACACCTGCCCCACCATCACCACAAGGCAAACAGGGGCGAGAAGCAGCAGTCGTCGCTGCCTCCGCCGTCTCTGCCTTCTCTGCCTCCTCCTCGCCTATGTTGACAGAGCTGCTCGTGGTCGTGTGTGTTTACTCTCCACGGCTGGCCAAGACAAAAGAGAGACGAGAAAAGTCGCCGCTTTGATTTTCCGTCTGCGCTGGAAGAAGCGCCCATTCCCTCCCAGCACGTGTTGACTCTGTTGTTAGCGAGAACAATAGCGAGAACATTAGCGAGAACAATAGCAAGCGCGCTTATTGTTGCTAGTGTTATTCTTTTCCCCTCCCTCCTTTATAAATGAGAAAGTAGAGTCGCTTTCAGATATGATTTTGTAAAAAAAAAATGATGGTAATAGTCTTAAACAAGTCGTAAGACTGTGTAGCAGTTGAGCATTCGGTGATAGTTTAAATGTAATCGTCACGACTGCGAGTTTTCGTGACGAATCTCGAGTAAGTGCGTTTCTATAGTGTAGTGGCATTCTGCTAATCGGGTCTGTGTGTAACCACCGGCATAGCCAGCGTGCGTGAGCTTGTGTTTGTCTATCATAGCGTACGGATCCTTGCGTAGCCACCTCGGCAGGTAGGGTTAGGCGTGTGCATACATACGTCTAGCCCAATCTGTGTCCCTGTATAGATTCACACACACAAGGCTACGGCGTCGTGTCGCCGTGTATTTAGTCTCCGCAAGCGATGGATGTGCTGGCCAGCCACAGCATCTTTCACGAACTGCAGCTGGTGCACGACACGGGTTATTTCTCTGCTCTGCCATCTCTCGAAGAAAACTGGCAGCAGGTAAGACGAGAGAGAGAGTGTGTGTGTGAGAGATGGTGTGTGTGTGTGAGCGGCGTGCGTGTGCTGTCAGTCTCGTGTTGCATGTATCATGCGAGAGTGTGCGGCGCTTGTAAGCTGGTGATGTGTGTTCGCATTGCTTCAGCAGGAGCGGTTAGCGTGCTGCGATTTCGCAGACACACGATGAGTTCGAATCCTGGCCACGGCCAACAATCAGTGCCGAGCGATGTTTCTGTCTTAACTGCTGCTGAGCCTCCCCTAGGTCGACTCAGCCTAAATACGTAGCTGCTGCGTTATATTATTACGTTGTTATTATGTCAACGTCAGCACTGGGGAGACGAAGGCGGCCGGGCGTGATTTTTGCGCCGGTACAGACCTAAATAGGTGCGCGCTAGCAACACTTGCTCCACGAGTCTAAAGACTATAGGGGTATCTTTGTCTTTGCTCGTGGTTGGTGTGTGTGTGCTTCTTTTGTGCTCCGTACTTATAGGTGCTCGCTAACAGCACTTGCTCAAACAGTCTGTGCCAGCTTAAAAATACGCTGCCAAGCTTAGCAGTGTTCATTAGGATGCTGTCTTTCCGATAGCCCTGTTCTTCACCTGAGGACGGCTGCTTGCGTTGTGGCCGAAACGCCGTGAGAATTGTATCTGATTATGTTTCATTTTTATTATTTTATTATTTCCCTTCTACGTGACTTTACCGAAAGAACCAAGAATACAGGCTATGCTGGTTATGCGGGAGGCCTTTGTGTTTTTTTCGTGATGTGGGTTTAATGTATGACATGTGATGTGTGTGTAATATGTGAAAGATGTGTGCTGTCTTGTGAGTTGTGTGTTTGTGTCATTTGATATGTGAATGATGTGCACCACGTGGTCTGTCTTTCGTGTGAGTGTCATGTGAGTGATGTGTATCATGTGAGATGTGTGTATGCATTGTGGGTGTCATGTGAGTGATATGTGCATGTGTGTATCCGTGTATTATGTAAAGTGTGTGTATGTGTGTCATGAGAGTGAGTTGCTTGTCCATCGTCAGTGATGTGTGTGTCCTGATGCCATTAATATCATGCTCTATATCATGTGATGTGTGTGTCTTGTGAGAAATGTGTACATATGCACCATGAGTGATCTGTGTTAATGTGCGTATTGTGTGCGAAATGTCACGTGACAGGTGAGTGATGTACGTATCACCTGAATGATGTTTGTGTCATGTGAGTGACATGTGTGTGCATGTATGCGGGGAGCGGCGTCGCAGTGGTTCGTGTGCTGCGCTACGAACCAGCGATCGTTGTCAACATCGGTAAAAAAATCATACCTGGTGAGATGTGTAAATGTCAGCATTGGGAAGACAAAGGCGGCCTGGCGTGTTGCTAGCCACCCAACTATTCGCATGCCGTGCCGGCCTTCATAGGTGCTCGCCAACAGCACTTGTCCCAACAGCCTGTAACAGGCTATACAGGAGTCTTTGTGTTATGTTTGTAAAGCTACTAAACCCTCATGGCAGACAACGATATGGCGAGACATTCATCCAGCAGTGGATTGACGGGACTGTAAATTAATATTATTCTTATCAGGTGCGTATGTCGGCGAGTGATGTGTGTGTGTGTGCGCGTCTTTGAGAAATGTGTGTGCATGTATCTGTCTGTCATGTGAGCGGTGAGTAATGTGTTGCATTTCATATGCCTGCCATGTGAATGCTGCCGACATGGAAGACGTGTGTGTGTGTCGTTGTGTATGAATGATGTGTGTGGTTGTATGTGCATAGCACGCCACATCAATTGTAGCCATCCCTTGTTGTGTGTGTGGTTTCTAATCCGAGCCATTGTTCCTGGTAGAATATACAATTCATGCCAACATTTTTTTTAAACAAGGTGGAATTCTATAGAACAGCATTATTGCATAGATGATTCTGGTAAATGGGACAATGCTATATACATTATATATAGCGTGTTTAAAAGTGTTTGGTGCAACCTGTGTTCACATTTTAGACTAATATTTACGATGCACTGTCAGTTTATATGTGTGTGTGTGTACGTATTGCAAAGTGTGTAAGCACCGTATACAGAAGACGCTGTGTACACATTGACATACCACAGTATTTAAAACCCTACCCTGGCTGTATTTGCACAGAAAGCACATCATCTTGATGTTTGCATTAAAATATCGTTTCGCAATGCACAAATCTCGTTTTAACAACATCATGCGGGGAAAAAATGACTGCTGGATTAATTAACTAATGGATAATTATGTTTTTAAACATTCAATCATTCATACGAAATCACAGCCCTTTGTCAATCCACGGCCGAATAGATTTCCCCATCCAGTCTCAGTCATGAGGTTGTTTGACTATACTTCACCACCCTGGTCAATGTGGATTGGTGGTGAAAGTGAAGGGATTTTGTGGCGGGTGGTCGGGTGCGAGGCATCACTCGCCACTCATGTTGGTCAGGAGTCGAACTCGTGTCTGCTGGTTCCAAAGTGCAGCGCACCAACAAGCCGTGTGACACGAGTACCCCTGCCAATTTAAAGGGATCTAAAATAAAAATGTTGTTTGCTCATTAAAGCCAGCACCAGACGAGAGCATGCAGATGCAGCGCACAAACACACGGCAGCAACAATAAAAATAATCGCGTGGCTAGAATCACTCAACCCCGCGTGTTTCTCTACGGAAAGAAAACCCTACTCAATAATTAATGGGCCTAATGTCTGGACCGCTCCACAAACTACAGTAATAATAAAAATATAACCTCCCCCCCTCTCTACCCACCCACCCCTCTCACACCGAGACACTGCTGGGGGGAGGTGGAAGTAACCAACCCGAGCCTTGGCACATTTATATCTATACCACGGGGGTGGCGCCAGTGCGTGGCATTGAGAGGAAATGTATTCTAAAAAAAAAAAGCTTTTGTGGTCGATTGAAAGCTATTTCATATCAAGCTCCTTTTCGCAGCCCATAGAAAAAAAGTTGCGTCTGGTTTATTATTAACGTATTATTATTTTCGTTGGTGTTTTCGGCACAATTTGGTTGCTTCAAATGCCCTTGATCAATGTTTCGCCGTGCACCTCAAATGCCCCCTCCCAGCCCCCCCCCCCAGCCTCCCCCACCCCGGTCAAACCCATGCACATTTTGCTTTTAAAATAATAATCTCGAGCGGGGCGGGTGGATGGATGTATTTGTGAACACTGGCTCCTATGGGGCTTGTGTGCAGCATCGCTCGTCTGTGCTGCGTCTTCCCGAATGTGTGACATCGGCCAACCCGAAGTTGCATGAATTGTACACGGGTTAAGGTTGATTTAAAATACGTTGCAACATTGCACAATGTGTTAAGAATGCATCTCGACACTTTATGAATCCAAATCGTATGCATTACATTTTGGAAGTGTCTAAATTCAACCGCATTTTCTGCTCTGTATTTATATTTGGTGAGAGCACGCGTTGAAGACAGCGCGTCCAACCCTTCTGCTTTCAAGGGGGACTTGAACTGAAGCTCAGTAGATGCGACGCAGAAAACTACACAAATGTAGAGCGTCCACAAAATATCACTCTTTATTATTATATTTGCGAAAACGGAAACCGCAACAACAACAAAACTACAAAAAATTCCAGACCTTTTTAAGAGTCGTCAGCATCGATAGATTCATGTACACGAGCAGCATTCGACGGCCAACATTGTAAAGCCACGCTAATTTGAAATCTGAAACAACGACGAGGATCGTATAAGCAGTAGTACCTATGCAAGCCGGGCAGCGGCGCATTAATTTATTTTTTGAGGGGGGTGAGTTGGGGGGACCCTCCATCAATAATTGAAGAGGTTTTTTTTTGTGTGTGCGCACAATCTGTCACGCTGCATTGAAGTTATAAATGTGAACGTCGCAGTTATTAATTTACTAAACGTTGTTATCCAAATGTATTTGCCAGCAAGCCTGCTTGAGCGCTTAATGAACACCGAGCTAAGACCCGTGAGAAGAAACCCAACGGTGGTTTTTAATTTTTCATTCTGGTCAATTGAATGACATTTTTGTTGCATTTAGGGACTGCGTTGGCAGTGGTGTGCGAGAAGAATGAATACAAAAAACCTCACCATCCCCAACACTGCCTGATAACAGAAAGGCATAAAATGTTTTTTGTTGTTTGGTAAAATAACCCCTGCGGATTGACTGCAGTATGAACCCGGCGACCTGAGTTCGATTCTTGGACACGTCTAACAAGAGTGGTGAGTGATATCTCAGCCTGTCCTGGGCCCCCTCCCATTCAACAGCCTACACTGAGCGGCATGGGTGAAGTATGGTTAAACAACCACAATGGTTGACATGGAATGGATAGGCCTTTATCCAGCAGTGGATTGGCAAATCGCTAATTAAGCTATAGTTGGCTGAAGTTTGGGTAAACGACCCTTAATTGCCCTTGTTAAGAAGAGTTATTGCCCAAAACATTTGATCACACTTGGGAATATATTTTCCATTTGGGGAAATACAGTAATAACAAAGTCTGTGAATAGGATAACGGTTCATGGCTATATATCTCCTAGCGCAATAGTATTTTTTAAGCTTCTGTATGACACCCCCACAAAAATGTGGCGATCGTATTTCACCGATTAGTGTCGGTTTACACCTCTGCTTTCCATGTCCTCCATCTGTTCTGGAGATGTCAGGACCATCACGAGACAGCCCCAATGACACCTACCCGGAAGGTCACTCTTCAACATTACCGTGCCCGCCGTCAGGTGCAATATCGGTCTCGGATTAACAGCGCACTGGGCCCTGAGCCAGGCAATATTTTGAAATTCCCAACGCTCATCTCGTGGGCCGGCGCCGTTGCCTAGGCTCCCCTCTGCCGGGCCCCCGCGAAGGAGGACGCAAAAGGCAGCTGCTCACCCCGGCCGCGGTTTAATCAGGTCCTGGCGGAAGGGGACTCGCTAGGGTTTTGTATCCAGCCAAAGAGCTCATCGCGGAGAGGCTCTGCGCCAGACCTCAATCCGAGCAAACGGGGGGGCCCCCTGGGGAGAGCTGTCCGCCCCCCACCACCGCCGTGGATAATCCGAGCCTGCGTACGAGTGCCGCGAAGGGTTGCCCCGTTGAGAGCCTAAGCCAGGCCCGAGACGGACCCCAGCGGTGGATCCGTCTCCCTTGTGTCCTGTTGGCGCCTCTTACCCCGCATCTCCACTGTGCATCCCCCCCGGCCCGCACCTCTGCACCACTCTCCTCCCTTTTGGGCTCCCGTTCAGCTGAGCAGGAGGGCGAATGTCATGGTGACCAGCTGTGGGTGGTGCACTCGCGCAAGCTGCTATTTCCAAGGCAGGGCTCGTGGATCGTGCAGGCTTTGTGAACCTATGTTTGTACGTAGTTAAACAAAGAAAAGCAATTTAATTGTAAGTAATCGGTGTATGTCTTGTTATGGTTTGTTTTTCTCAAAGACTTTAAGCTGGTGGGTCTTGGTAACAATATAGTAATATCTATTTTGTATATACTTCAAATGTGTCATACAGACGGCGGCTTCGTGTTTTTTGGAAACCGATTCTGCTGCTCTCGGTGATGACATTTCGTAGCACATTCAATCCCCACAAAGTCTCTCTTGAAAAGAATAATCACAAAGAAGACGTTTGTCCAAGGGAGAGAAAAAAATGAATTCCATCAAACAGTGGTGTCGGATCGTTCTCGCCAATCGCAGGAATTGTTACAGCGGCAGGCGAGGTGTGCTGTTCACAGTCAATGCCATTCACGCACCTGCGCACGCACGCATCTGACACCGTCTTTAAGTCTCAAAGTTGACGCCACAAATCACGCGGTTAAACTTTCATCAAGTGTCTCTCGAGGGTGCACGTGCTCCTGGCTTTCGCCATTTTTTTTAAACGGCAGGTTTGTTTTTTGTCAGCTAGCGGCATCTCTACCTGGCATCTCCTGACACCCCCAACGTCTAACACGCGAGAAGGGGCCGTGTGCGCTGTTCACTTTTGCCAGCTTCACTTCTTTTGGAAACACGGCTTGTTAGATTCGCCCTCAGATTCTGATGTTTGTGTGGCAGCCCTCGCGTGAGCCTTCCCACCCCCCCCCCCCCCCCGCATGTTTTGCGTTGTCAAGGTCATCGTCGTTGTCATTGACGTGCGTCGTGCAGCACTTGAGACTGCCAAGGCTGCGAGGCTTCGGTTCAGCGGTCGAGGTTAGAATCGACGAGTCGAAACAACCAAACAGAAAACAAAGATCCCCCCCCCCCTTATATAGGCGAGTGTTGTTAGCGAGCACCTATGAAGGCCCTTATATAGGCGAGTGTTGTTAGCGAGCACCTATGAAGGCCACGACTGTGGCACACGAGGCGGTGGGTGACCAGAAACACGCCAGGCCGCCTTTGTCTCTCTCGGGGCGATGTTTACTACACACTGCACCAGGTATTCATTTGAGGCTGACTCGACCTAGAGGAGGCCCAGGACCCGTTCAGATAATATTCACTGGTATTCGCCGTTAGCGGTAATTGAAATCAGGTCTCTGAATTAATAGCGCAGCGTGCTAACCGCTACGCTACCGCTCCCCCCCCCCACACACACAGGCGTACACAAGCAAACACACATTCACACGAGCGTGAACCATTTCCAGCTTTATTGACTTTTCCTGGAAGTAAAAGAAGTGATTAAAGTGAGAGTCATTTAGCACAATTCACACCGTGGCTGGGCCAGCACTGCCTCGAAGGCATCACCAGTCATACACGAACCGCCTGGCAGTGTTTACCCCGCCGCACAATGGATTGCTCCATCGGCATCGATCGCTGCATCGCCAATAACCTGCGGAACGGTCCATTTCAATTTTTTTCCGGCACATGGATTGCCCACCGTGGTGCCCGTCCGCTTGTGCCAAACTATCGCAGGCGCTCGCACGCCAAGCCTCGAGTGGACAGCGCGTGGAAGGCGGCGCTGCCACTCCATTAGCCTCGGGCAGGGCTATTGCAAAGTGCTCTGGGCATTGATGCCTGCGTGGATAACTGGAGGTTGATGGTGCGAGCTGGGAGTGCGCGTGTCTGTTGTGTGTGGACGCACGCGTGCGGGAGCCAGTGGCGCAGTGCTTGGACCACTGCGCCACGTATTAACCCCCTGCCACCTTGGTTCGGTTTTCTCAGCCCACAGGAGGCTAACCGGCTAACGTCGGTGACGATCATCCGATTCGGTCATGGTGCCTCCCGTGAGGTCGAGTCGGCCTCGCGTGAGCCCATTTTGTTAACGTACACGCGAGGGAGTCATAGGTTGTCTGGACGTGTTGCTGGTCACGCCACCCGCTTTTGTGTACTGTGACGACCTTAATAGGTGCTCGCAAATCGCACTCGCTCCGACGCATTCTGTATGGCTACGCGGCGGAGTATGGGAGAAGTCTCGATGCGGCTGTCCAGCTCTCTCCACCCTCCCATGCCGGCTGAAACCAGCTTGCAATCCCTGGGCGCTCAAATGGAATCGGAACCTGGCTTGGGGTTGCTGGTCCCAGGTTGATGTGGTGGTAAGAGAGAGGGATCGGGCAATAAACGCCGGTGAATTGGAAGAGGATCACACATCTTTATGACCTCTCGGCAAATGGAGAGAAAAGGCTTTGGGATGTCACGGTGAGGCGGGCGGGGGGGGGGGAGGGTTTCGGGCGGTGGGCGGGGGGTGACATCAAATTTGCACGCATGTCAGCTGACGGCAGTCACGCGGAGTGCATCGCTAGTCCTGTGCCAATCACATGGGCAACCGCGTTCGGACACAAGTCGCTTAATCCAAGGACAAAGCACTGTGCATTGTTTCGGCTTAATTTTTCTCATCTCAGATCTCTCTTTGTTTTACTTCTCAGCATGTGTCATATCGCAACCACGCCGTAAAGCAATGCATATTTATTAGCACAGTCTCCCATGTGTTATCTTAATTAGGGTTACAAGGCTTTGCAAAACACCCCCCACCCCACCCACCTAATTTGCCGTGCACACTCGTGAGCGTGTGTTTATTGCCAGTGAGCGACGGCGAGTGAGCGAGCGAGCGAACATTTTTCTCTCTCTCTCGCTCTTTGTTCCAATAACTCGAGCCCGTGCTCTCGAGTCGAGCCGTCGAAGGCGGCAGAAAAACCACTTGGCAGCAAGAAGAAGTCGTCCGCGCTTCGCCCGGTCCGAATGCTGTCCTGTTGGCCTCCCGTCGGCCTCCTGTTGGCATCCCGTCGCTGCGCTCAAGTCCTTAAGAGCCGCACCTGTACGACGGGCGGCGTCGCAGCGCATAACACGAGCGTAATGTGGGATACAAAGAAACTAATATTACCGTGCTGTGTACACATAACGTTCGTCGGCGACAGAGAGCTCCTCCAGATGACCTTTGCGTGAGCGTGGAGTGCTCTCGCCAATAGCGTCTTGGTCATGGCGCGTGGCATTTGCTGAGCAGGCACCGACTCTGGCGATGGGACCCAGGAAGGCCCACGCAGGGTCCATGCTTTGCTTGCTTGAACAAACCCTGCTTGGTAATATAGGCTCATCGACTAAACAATCTTGTTTTTGGTGTAGAGAGAACGGAGTTCCACTCATATATGTCAGGCAATGTCGACCTGAGATAATGGCAATTGAGTGAAAATGTACAGAATGTGGGGTTAATTTAGAAGTGTTATTATTTTAATTGTGTTGGAAAATGTGTCAAACTATGTTTCTCCGGTAGGTGTTTTGTTTGTTTGTTATTAACGCATCTGCCTCCATCCAATTCACCCCAAATCGTCCGCCTAATCGCGCCAATCTCGGAAGCTAAGCGCAGTGGAGTGGAGCCTGGCGATCGCTCGGATTGATGATCGCCAGAGCTCGCTTTGTGTTCATCGGCATGGGGCTGTGCGGTGGTCAGGAGATGACAGTGCAGCAGTGGACTTAATCCATCTGTGTGGGGCTTTTGAGTCTCCCCCCCCCCCCCCCTGTACGTGTGGAGTTCTCTCTCTGGGTCCTGTGCTCTCCTGCCACACGACCGTGGCCCCAACACTTACTGGTGGCAGTGGCCAAAGATCCCAATGCACAAACGTCCTGAAACATAATCTTGAGACTCGGTGAGGCTTTTCTTGCGCACGTTTTTGTCCTTATTGGTGGTATTGTTTGATGTATTAAAATTTCCCTTTTTTTTTCTGGCGCAGGGGTTATGGAACCCACAGTTTCAATGGGCCTTCACTTGGATTTAAATTAAGGACATTGATTGATTGATTATTGCTTGTGAACACTTTATACAGCGAAATACCACTCATCCGATTGGATGTGGGTCAGAGCTGGGGTCTATTGCAATTACAATGGCATTGTTATCCGAAATTACAATGGTACTGTAATTGCGGTTCATTACGAATCAACACAATTACAATTATAAATGACCCTCGGGTTCTGGATGTTGGTGGTGCTATGGGAGTATACTATTATCCGTGTATGGATAAACATTGATAATTTTAGGATGCATTTAATGTTTGTCACTTGCGGGGTGACCACCTCTTGTTCATGCAGAGGCGCTCGGATAATCGGCTGATTTGTACCAATCACTCCGAGTGGTGGCACTTATCTGTGGATTGGGACGTGGAAAACGAGGGTTTGTGGATCGCTTAAGGGGCATGGATAATACGAAGAACAGAATTAAGTAAGAAGTGTCGCGCCACTCAAGTCGCATGTTAACCAAGGCTTAACGTCCCACCACTGAATATTTTTCGGGTCGCTGTGTCAGACTTGAGTAGGTGACACGTGACTCGTATCCAGAGCCCGAGCGAGAGGTAGTACACTGGTTGTGGTGGTGTCATGGGTTTACGAATGCTCTCCGTGCCACCGACTGACTCGGCCGTCGGCGAGCACCGATTTCACCGGTTCCTTGCGCCGGTCGCGCAGCGTAACCGCGCCTCTCTCCGCGTCGACCCCCCCAGACGTGCCTGGAGATGGAGCGATACCTGCAGACGGAGCCGAGCGGCCAAACCGCCGAGGCTGGCGCGGACGGGCCGGACGAGGGCCTGTGGGATGAGCTCGTCCTGCAGGCGAAGGCCGCCGGCTCTGCCCGGCCAACGCCGCCGCCGCCGCAGCCGCCGCAGCAGCAGCAGCAGCTGCGGGCCGGCGACGCCGCGCCGCCTCCGGGCGTCGCGGCCGCGGTCAAGCAGGAGTCGGCGGTGGACGGAGCCACGGAGCTGGCGGCCTCTCTGGGCGCCGCCACCGAGTCCGTGCAGCTGGTGCCGAGGAGGCTGGCCGGCCACGAGGCCGTGACGGCGCTCACGCCGCCCTCCTCGCCCGAGCTCGCCAAGAAGCAGCACGCGCTGGCCGCCGCGGCCGCCGCCTCGACCCCCGCCGCCCCTGCCGCCGCCCCCGCCGCCGCCGCCGCCGTGAGGGCCGCCCTGCGGTTGGGCCGCAGCCTGAGTTCTCCCGTGGGCCGCGGCGGCGGCCACCACCATCACCACCACCACCATCACCACCACCACCACAGCGGCCATCAACGCCAAAGCGACGGTGACGATCGGCAGCAGAGGCTGGCGGCCTTGCCGCTGGCGCGCAGCGCGGACTCGTCGCCGGACGGCCGCCGGCGGGTTCACCACTGCCACTTCAACGGCTGCCGCAAGGTTTACACGAAGAGCTCGCACCTCAAGGCTCACCAGCGCACGCACACGGGTGAGTGGCGCCCGGCAGCGACCCGCCCGCGTGCGGCGAGAGTGCGTATGGCCGCTGGTTGCGGTGAAATTCCACGGGTCGTTCCGTCCGTGTCACGGTGGGCCGTTGAGGAGCCCATGACGTTATCCGTGCGTGCCGGTTGTCATTGTTCACGTTCGATCAACTACTTTTAGATGAATCGATTGGGGAAACAAAACGCCACGTGGCATCGCCGCCCCGTAGTGACCGACTAATGTTCACTTGCAGGATGGTGCCACGTTCAACTTGTGCCACCCCAAGGACAGCTGCCACCTTGGGGTGGCGGGGGGGGCTGCCGCAGGGTGAATGCTGGGAGACACGGCGGTGTTGGGGGGGGGGGGTTGGGGCGGGGGTGGGGGCCAGGTGGCGGAGTGACGCGAGACGCGACACGGGCTGCGTGGTGGCCACGGTTCGCACAGCTCTTGTCGTAGCCAGGATTGGTGGATCCCGCGGAGATCCTTGGGGTGTGTGAAGACTCTCTCGCGAGTGAGGTTGTTCCCGTGATGGTCGGTACAGCGAGGGTGTTTGTCTAAGTTTGAGTGATTGTCTTCGCATGCGTTTGGGTTTCCTCTGAGCAACTCTCTGTGCTACCAACACAAAAAACAAGACTAATTTTTTTTTAAAGCAAGATGGACAGAGCGCCACCCGATGAAAGTTTCTTGAGACTCGCTGAAGCCTTCCTGTGCTAATAAAGCTCGACTATTAAGAACACAATGGGAAGTTTTGTCAACGAAATTAGGCCATGCCCATTGCGCTTGGGGCTGCAGGAATTGCGAAAGAGAGAATGTGCAGGATTGAGCTGGGAGTGCTGCCAGTTATATTGACGTGTCTGAAAAACGAATGGTTAATCAAATATTCAGCAGCTGGTTATCCGGTCGGCATTATGCTTGTGTCCGTACTGTACGCAAGTTTGCCCCGGACCGAAATGGGCTTTAAGCTGCGCTGGCAGATGTTGCATACGCTAGAATGTATGATTAATGTCAATTGTGAGTTAAACTACCGAAATAAGCATTCTTCCATTTACTATCCTAAAGCCCCCCCAAAAAAATCCGCCTTTCTGCTGTACGGCTTATAATTGCTAATAACCTTGACTCCCATTCTCCCCCCACCCTCCACTCTTATTTAATGTAATTTCCACCACTGAGCGGGGGGGGGGGGGGGGGGTGGGGGCTGGGGGGCTTAATCATTTGTGTGAACACCGATTATTTGAATTTCTCCTTCCCTGTCCACGGGGAGGGCCTGTGGCACGGTCGTCCCCGTGTCCTCCGCTGTGAACTCGGCGACCTACATTCTTCCCCGGCACAGTTTAGCGCCAGCGGTGAAGGTGATATCTGAAGACGCCCCCCTGCCTCGCCACGCGCACCCATCCTTACGGTGACCTGAACCGCAAGGGTCGAAGTGTGAATTATACCGGTGCTGGTGAGGCCCCTTCATCCAGCAGTGGATTAACAAAACGAGCTCTACGTGGGCAAGTATATGTACTAATGTGGGGTGGTGCGGTGGGGCCACTGGTTAATGCACTGCAACTGCCAACCTGGAGACTTGCATTAAATTCCCGGCCAGGCCAGCAAAACGACCTCCACGACTGGAAAAGCTTTCATGCAGCAGTGGATAAATGGACTGCAAACAATAGTTTTAGTATTCTCCTCTGCAGCCTGACCACGGGCCCACTCTGTGGCTCACGCGAGAAGCGGCGAACCTCGTGTTCGTTGCGATGTTCGCCCAGGCGGGTAAGACGGCGCAATGCTCTCCCCGGGCCGGGCTGCCCGTTAGCGGTGGCTTGCGAGCGCGTTCCGATCGACAGTGCATTGGAGAGGCCGTTCCGATCGTGCACGCGTCATCGTCGGAGAAGGAAAAGGGCCGATTCTGGCAACTTTCGAGTGACCTGGAGGTGACGGTGCCGCTCGTTGGCAGGGGCGTGTGTGTGCGTGTGCGCGTGCGTGCGTGCGTGTGTATGTGTGTGCGTGCGCTCACTCAAAGCGTGATAGATGAACCCGCTAATCAAAAATGTAAATACATAGCGGGACGTGGCCGACGCAAGGGAAATTAATGCCTCCTTAACTTTAATCCTTAATTAATTTGACCGCTCCAAACAAATCTGAATGTAAATATTGTTCAGTGTTGCAAAATTAGGTTTTGAAAGTTTATATACCTGCATTTTCTAACCGTGACTTTTAGAAGAAAAGCTTAATTAGTTTTGCAAATGACGCTTTGGTTAGAATACTGGGCTATGAACCGAGTGGCTGGAGTTAATTTTCAGCAATTGGCTAGCACATGCAGTGAGCTATGGTCTGCCCCGGTTAAATCTTGGTTTATGCAGTTGTTTCACGTAAACCCTGCACTTCATAGAGGCTGTCACTCTGACCACACCGGCAAGACAACCACCACCAACACTACGACCACTACAACCACCACGACGGACATGGCACCGGGGAGGCCTTCATCCAACAGTGGAGTGACAAAGGGCCGAACATTACCATTGATGTCATTCATATTTGTTCGGCTATTAGGCAGCGTTGATTGGTTAGGAAGACGTTGAAGTATTTTCAGCCCCTGCGTATTAACAGCCACCGCCATAAGCCCCCTCCCCCCTCCGCTTACTGAATCCCGACTTGACAACGAAGAGAAGGTCGGGTTATGAATGGCTGGGTCAGTGGGTGACGCTCGTGTGCGTGTGGGGGACCCGGGCGGGTGCTCGCTCCATACAGCACTTGCCCCAAACCGCCTGTTGAAGGCTTATACGGGGGGCATCTTGAGTCTGAGGATTCGGGCAAATGGGTAATGCCACAAAAAGGCTTCTCTCGGAGCTGGTTGCTAAAATCCGTAGAAGGTGGGAGACATCAGAGGGGGGAGGGGGTTGGAGGGGGGGTGGATGGAGATCGAGGGGGGAGGAGCAGGGTTGGTACGAAGGCACGGGGGGGGGGGGGATGCAAGCGTTTTGCAAAGCGTGGCGGTGGCCGGGGTGACTGGCTGCGTGAAGGTTTCCTGCGTTGAGCAAGGCAGGCGGTCCCGGCGGAGGGACTCGTTTAGAACAGCCACCCCCCCGGAGGGACCACGGCTCTGTTGCGTTCTGCTTCTCGCGACGTTTGTGTTGAAGGATTCCGTGAAGGCGGCACGTACAGTGTGTGGTGGCAGGTGTCGCGTGTTTGTTGTTGTTGTGGTGGCGGTGCTGGTGGGGAGCGGTGGCGCAGCGGTTAGCGCGCTGCACTGCGAACCCGGCAGACCCGAGTTCGATTCCCGCTCCTCCTCCTCCCCCTCCTCCGTACGGCTGATGTAGATGCGGGGCAAATAACTGCATTGGTCACAGCCACCAAACACCAGTGACGGTTATCTGAGCCGGTCCTGGGCCTCCCCTAGATCTACTCGGCCTCAAATGAGTGCCCGATGCGGTTTGTGGTAAACATCGTGACGTGGGTGGCTGCTGACTGACAGATGAATGGGGGAGGGGTGGGGGGGTCTCTGTCTTTGAGAATGAGACGAAATGTTACAACAAGAAATTCGTTCGGGTTGGTATTTAAATAGGCGTATATTAATTAGACTTGATATTTTCGTCGTAATATTTGAAAGCGTTACGGCACGCGTCCCACTTCTGCACAGCAGCGACGTGCGGCTGGAGGTTTTGACGCTGCATAAATCCAATTTGTGTTATATGATCTTTCATTGTTTCTTCATGGAAATGGCTCGTGTAGGTTAATTCGATTTCTTTTTAATCCACCACACGTATGTAACAATGATTATTTTCTCTCTTTGTATTCGTCTCCGTTTGCACCACTCCACTTTGTGTCGCTTATCTCGCACGACTCGCAGTTTGAAGCACAACGCTTTATGTTAATGTGTCTCTCGTGGGTTTTGAAAAAAAATATTTACAGCTGATTGACAAACCGACGCTGGATGAAGGCTACCAGCGCTCGTTTTGCTTTCCCTCAATGGCGGCGGTGAGGGTTGATTATTTTTAATTGATTGATTATTTTTAATTGATTATTTTTTACTGATTATTTTTATAACCACATTTCACCATGCCATGTTCTTGATCCAGAATCTTTTTTTAAACAGATGGTCCAGTTGGGCGTGGGTCAGCCAGTCGCAACGACAAACAATACAAGAAAAAACGATGGGAGTGCAGAGCATAGGAAAGATGAGCAAGTCACGAGAAATAAACTCAACACCTTTTATTTTACCAAGTAAAGTCCAATGAGCTATTCGTTATTTTTCAGAAGTGACCTGGCCACAAATGATAGCTCAACGATGTGGCTTATTTGGAAATGTATAGGAGCCAAATACTCTTAAGCGCATGTTTCTAATCACACTCGGGTCGCTGGGTTCATCGTGCAATATGCTAACCACTGTGCCACCGCTCCAACCATATGCAGTATTCAAAATTAATGTATTGTAAATGTCTATACGTAAGAGTTATTCTTCCTGCTGTATCATTACTGCTTCATTATTATCAGAATGTCCACGTAATTGTAATTTCTATCGCCTTATTGTGACCTGGGCACCCTACTCAGTGACCATTAATATCTCTCAAAACTAAAGTATATATATATATTTTTAAAAACCCTGCGCCGTTAAAAAAAAGCCATTAGCGGAGACATGTAAGATAGCCATTTTTAATTTACTTCACCGTGGGGGAAAAGGGAAAAAGAAACGAAAAGGGAAACAAAGAGAGAGAGACCCACGACGCTTTAGATGTGGGGATTGGCGGTTTTTAATCGTGAGGCAGCCGAGCGAGCATAGTTCGGCGTTGGATGACTCTTGTCTCGATCCCGCACAGAGCGCTCTGCGCTGTTCGTGTGTGGGGGGGCTAAGGTAGGTCGTGGGGCGGCAGAGCGAGGGGGAGAGAGGGCGGCGGGGGGGAGAAGAGTCGAGGGAGGGCGAGGTGGCTGGTGTGTAGGGGCGGGGGGAGAAGGAAAAGCGTGAGGCGAGATTATTAATATTTTCTTTAGGAGCAGGAGCAGCAGCAGCAAAAATCGTCGTCATCA